CCAAAGCAGAGTAGACAAAACAATGACTTCTCTCATGATCTGGGTACTAGGCTTCTGTGAACATAGCCTAAAAGATGAATGGAGATTTGCAGCCAAGTCTTCTCAGTCCTAATCCAGCATTTTAAACAAATAATAATAATAATAATAATAATAATAATAATAATAATAATACCCTGGCTGAGTTTCCCAACCAATCTGGGCGGCTTCCAACAAAAGATTAAAAATACATTAAGCTCCCGTTGCTCGGTCCCTGCTCCTGCCCACCTAGCAGTTCGAAAGCATGTCAAAGTACAAGTAGATAAATAGGTACCACTCCAACGGGAAGGTAAACAGTGTTTCCATGCGCTGCTCTGGTTTGCCAGAAGTGGCTTAGTCATGCTGGCCACATGACCCCGAAGCTCTCTTGGCCAATAAAGTGAGATGAGCGCCGCAACCCTAGAGTCAGTCACGACTGGACCTAATGGTCAGGGGTCCCTTTACCTTTACCTAAGACATCAGTCATTAAAAACTTCCCTAAACAAGTCTGCCTTCAGATGTCTTCTAAACATGAGATAGATGTTTATTTCTTTGACATCAGATGGGAGGGCGTTCCACAAGGCGGACGTCACTACCGAGAAGGCCCTCTGCCTGGTTCCCTGTAACTTTGCTTCTCGCAGTGAGGGAACCGGCAGAAGACCCTCAGAGCTGGACCGCAGTGTCTGGGCTGAACAATGTGGGTGGAGACGCTCCTTCAGGTATACTGGGCTGAGGCCGTTTAGGGCTTTAAAGGTCAACACCAACACTTTGAATTGTGCTCGGAAACTACTGGGAGCCAATGTAGGTCTTTCAAGACCGGTGTTATATGGTCTCGGTGGCCGCTCCCAGTCACCAGTCTAGCTGCCACATTCTGGATTAGTTGTAGTTTCTGGGTCACCTTCAAAGGAGTGTATACAACTTTGGCCCTACTCAGAGTAGACCCATTAAAATTAATGGACACACCTAAGTTTATCATTAATTAGAGCTATTAAATTCAATAGTTCTGCTCCAAGTTTTAAAAAGAAAACCAAAACATAAAGGAACCCTGGATGGTTAAGTCCAGTTAAAGGTGACCATGGGATTGTGGTGCTCATCACGCTTTCAGGCCGAGGGAGCCGGCTTTCTGGGTCATGTGGCCAGCAGGACTAAACCGCTTCTGGCACAATGGAACACCAAGACAGAAATCAGAGTGCATGAAAATGCCGTTCACCTTCCTGCCGCAGCGGTACCTATTTATCTACTTGCACTGGCATGCTTTCGAACTGCTAGGTTGGCAGGAGCTGAGACAGAGCAACGGGAGCTCACCCTATTGTGGGGATTCGAACTGCTGACCCTCTGATCAGCAAGCCCAAGAGGCTCAGTACAAAGCTGCAGTCCTAACCTCACATACCTAAGACAGAGACTAAGGTTCATTTATTTCAATATAACTTACTTCCAGGGTTGCACAATAATGCATTAAAGCCAGGGTATCCAATATGATGCCCTCCAGGTGTCACAGAATCATAGAACTGTAGATTTGGAGGGAACCATGAGGGTCATCTAGTCCAACCCCCTGCAATCCAGGAATCTTTTGCCCAACATGGGGCTCGAACCCTCGACCCTGGGATTAACAGTCTCATGCTTTACCAGCTGAGGTATCCCAGCCGTGTCATTGGTCTACAATTCCCATCATCCCTGACCATTAGCTATGCTGACTGGGGCTCATGGGAATTGTAGTCCCAACAAAACCTGCAACGCCTATATCTGCATTAAAGTTATAGGGTGTTTCTGATTTATGGCATCCCTCCAAACCTTTTCTCCAAGGAGCTCATTGCAAAGTACCTGGTTCTTTCTTCCTCTCCCCCCCAAAACCCATCCTTAACAACACTCATACCAATAACAAACGTAGCTGGTCTCTAAGGTGCTCCTGGAAGAAACATTTTTATTTTGTTAACACCCCTGTAAAGTATGAAGCAGACTGAAGTCTGGTATCAAATAAACATGTTGCACTTGATACCATTTTCTTATTTCCCCGTGGTTGGAAATGAAACAGTACAAGCTTTTTTCCCATGTGAATCCTAAAAATAATATGTAGCACATTCCAACTTCCTTTAGTAACAATCAGCAGCCTCTGTGGGAAAGGCTGGTTTTGTTTTTCCTGAGCAATATAAATAGAGCTCTTCCTCTAATAAGGACATTAAATGAGAAGGAGGGTGGGGAGAATGACAGTAATAGGCTTCTTTTGAACTCGGACTCCAATTGATTTTGACTTCCTGTAGAGTGAACAAGCTGTTACATAGGGAGACGCAGACTTGTAGCATCTAAAGAAGTGAGAAAGAAAGTCACCTGTGATACAGTTGGCATTGGGGTGGGTGTGAGCACAGAGGAGCCTGTGCTCAGGGGCAGATTTTGGAAAAGTGCAGTCATACCTCGGGTTGAAGTTGCTTCAGGTTGAGCATTTTTGGGTTGTGCTCTGTGGCGACCTGGAAGTAACAGAACGCGTTACTTCCGGGTTTCGCCGCTCCGGAATGGATCCCGTTCGCATCCAGAGGTACCACTGTAGAAGACGCTATCCTAGCTAATACAGGTGGAAGGATCTGTCAATGTTGCTTCTATTGGTTTTCCAGTCTTAAATCCAGTTCCCCATATTTCTGCAGCAACTGATGAATCTCCTCATAAAAGAACAAAAAATCCAGTGAAAATTCTTCAGCATTTCCATGCAAATTTCCTCTAATAAACATATTTTTGTATGGTTTTGACAAATAGACACCTTTTTACCAGCATTTTATCCCGAGATAGTGAACTTCTGTATGTGGTTCTCTCTCTTTCTCTCCTCTCTCACACACATATATAATTTTTATATTTATATAATTTTTATATTTTAAATTTCTATACTGTCCTTCATCCGAGGACCGCATGGTGGTTTACAATCCCTGTGGTCCTCAACAACTGTTTTATTCTCCCCTTTAGTGCTCTTCTCTTTCCTGCTCCTGTCTCCTATTTTAGTTATTGGAATCTCTTATTCTAAAGACCTACTAGATTTCCCCTTTCACCTTCCTTTCTTCTTAGCAACAGGACACATCTTTCCTGTGGTGGTTTCATTTGAGATCAGAAACCCCCTAGAATATATTTTTAGCAAATTCTATTATGCAATAAGTGTGAGTGGCCATTAAATAATTCCTCCCTGTCCCATGGCAAATAGGATTAGGCATTAGGCTGTTGATCTCTTGTGATGGGAGAAGCCTTTGTCTTGCTTGTCACCGTTAAGCCTTCAGCTCTTATAAGAGTCAGTTTGTATCGTCAGCATTAAAGGAGAGGCATTTTTAACACTTGGTGTCTGGCTGCGGCTCAGTGGAGGGTGTCAAGAGACGGAAGAGGGATTCCCATGACAAGTGCTTGCTTGCACAGCATATTTGACCCAGTAGCGGGGCAAAGGTCACATCCTGCAGTGATTCACCTTGTGCTGCTTAGTCCTATGCAACTTTAGAAAGACCAACCATGCTCAAAGTGAAGCGTGCATAGCTTTGCAGCCAGGCAGTGCAAGCTTATGCATGTTTCCTGGGAAGTTTAATTGTGTTCAGATGATCCTACTCCCGGTCCCAACCTAATTAAATGTGTGCAACCTTAGTCTAGTTAGCTTTTTGAGTTAGTTGGCAAGGAAACATCAAACTAAAACAAGAGAGGGCGATTATGGCAGTGTAAAACTATATTAAGTAGGGTGGTTAAAAGAGGAAAGGCATCGCAGAAAAAAAGGGTGACACAGATTTGCATTGAAATTGCATGTTTGAATTGCATGTTCTAATTTATACCCATAGATCCACATTATGAAAAAAAAAATTACTATAATTCAAATACATGCATGTCGTCTCCCACCTTAACAGAGACTACAGTCATACCTCTGGTTGCGAACGTGATCCGTGTGGGAGGCACATTTGCTACCCGCAGCCTTCGCAGCCTGAAGCGTCACGTCTATGCATGCGCGTGATGCGATTTTGCGCTTCTGCACATGTGCGTTACGTCATTTTGCGCTTCTGCGCATACACGAGTGCCGAAACCCGGAAGTAACCCATTCTGGTACTTCTGGGTTTGGCGTGGTCCACAACCCGAAAACACGCAACCCGCAGCGTTCATAACCCGAGGTATGACTGAACTTTGACCACGTGGCCTGTGTGCTTGCTCAGTGTGCTGTCCAGGTGCTGACTGCCGGTGGGCAACTCCAAGGCCCCTCCTGCTCTCCCTTCATTTTTTAAAAAGGACTTTGAGCAGACAGCCCTTAAAACAGGGGACACCCTCAAATAAGGGACTGCCCTCTAAAAAGTATAACGCGTGGCCACCCAGCCACCTATGTTCGAGTACTTGGGAGTAGGTTCCATTGAACTTAATGGGCCATGGGCTCTGCGTGCGCAGCGACACGTGCCTGAACCCTGCACTTATTCGCTCAGAGGCGAGCTCTCCAGCTAAAGAAGCGCAGCCCAACCTGAGAACGTGACTAATGCAGCAATAATAATAATACTAATAATAACAATACTAATAAATTTTATTTATACCCCGCCCTCCCCAGCCAAGACCGGGCTCAGGGCGGCTAACACCAGGTATAAAACAACTGAATTGAAATAAAACTTAAAAACAAGATTAAAATACAACATTAAAATGCAGCCTCATTTCAGTAGAAACTCAAATCAAAAACTCTTTGGGGATGAAAACGTCAAATCTTGACCAAGGCCAACTCTCCAGAATAATAAGAACAGGTGGCGTTGCAGAGCAACAGGTAAGGCGCGCGCAGCGTTCGAGCCGGGGCTGTGTGGATCCTAAACTGGCGCGCGCAGGCGACAGCCCACCTCTACCAAGCCCACGTAACTGTCCACGTGCCGCCTGTCAACTTATTTCGCGCCTGCGCAGTACGCGCGGCCGCCCCCCCCCCTCCGCAGCCCTCCGCCACGCGCGCGCGCCTTTGTTTCGAGCGGCCTGTTTCCCAGGCAGCCTGGCGGAGGGGCGTGGCTATGCAGATGAGTAACGGGGCGGGCGGAGGCATCATAGGCGGCGGCGGCGGCGGCTCGCGCTCCTGGTTTGCCAGTCCGTCAGTCGGAGCTGGGCGCTCGCGAAGGGAGGAGCTGCTGTGAGGCCCGAAAGCGAGCGCCTCCTCCCGACCTCCCCCCCGCCTCCGCCCTGCCGAGCCCCGAGGATGATAAACACCCAGGACAGGTATTGAGGGGGCGGAGGAGGGGAGGCTTCGGCCTACGTCGCCTCAGGGACCCCGAAGGAAGCGGCGGACGGGGGGGGGGGTACCTCGCCCCGCATCTCCTCTCCTCACCGTCGCCGCCCTTCAGGATCGTGGCCTGCCTTTGGAAGCGGCCTACCCTCAGTAACCCCAGAACAGACCCGGATGATACAAAATGGAGGGGGGTGGAGTTGCCAGAGAGCGAAATGCGTGTGGGGAGGGGGCGGCGGGGCTTGCTTTTATTTTATTTTTTGTGGGCGCGCGCCCGCGCTGGTGGGGAGGGCTGGTTGCAGCGCGGGGCGCTGTGCACGCGCTCGTGCAAAAGGGGCGGGTGGGGGGGGCGGCAGTGGACCGAGGGAGGGTGGGGGGCGCCTGCTGCGGATTTGCACGTCTACCCCAGAGCCGTCCAGAAGTGCCGGGCGAAGGAGGGGCGGGTGTTTTGTTGTCACCGCGATCGCAGGACTTTGTTTTCGAAGAGAGCTTTCCCCTCTTCGTCTTCGCTTCACCCTTTTCAGCCTCTGGTAAACGGGTAGAGGCAGCTTTGTCCCACTGCCATCCCGTCTCCTCCCCACCCCCGTCTCTGCAATCCACTGTTAAATCCTGTAACCACTCTTGCCCCCTCCCCGTGCCCCCTTGAAGCTAAGATCCTGACTCTCCAATCCATGGGGTGACTCTGCATTTTAAAATGGCATAACACAGTTACCTCTGTGGAGACTCCCTTACAGCCTCCTCATCCAGGAATTGATGCTTAGTTTCACTGAAGCATCAGGTGTTCCCAGACTGTTCACTGGGTGCACTCATAGTATGTTAACAAGTTTGAGCAAGGGGCAAATCAAATAGGAGGGAAATAGATAAGGAAATGGTACAGGAAACAGGTATAGTGATTATAGAAGTCTTGCACCAGGAACTCAGATAATGGTTTGGTACACCATTGGTCAGAAGACTTTGGGAAGGTTTGTGACAGCACATCACATTGCATTCAAAATGGCTGTAAGAACACAGCATCAGGGTGCTTAGTTGTGTTATTCATGGATGCTCCGTGTTAAAGAAAGGTTAGAGTAGGCAGTTCTTCTCCGGGTCTTGTGATAGTTTTTACCCTGCACCCCACATTTTGCTTGTGGTGATTTGTCAATAATCAAATTGCAATTAGATGTAGGAACAAACCTTCCAAAAGTGAGTTGAGTGAAGGTGCCTGAAGGAAATCTAAGGAGAAAAATACAGGAGATTAAGCAGAATATTTACAAAGCACTTTTACAGTTACTTGTGTGACTGTCTTTTGTGGAAGTTTAGGCTGAGACACTTGCTCATGGCATTTGGTGAGCTTCACTGTTGGCCTCTGCCATGTCCACATCATACTGGCCTCCATCCAGCTATTAGCTGTGCTCCAAACTGCACTACAGCCACTCATACAAGACAGAAACCTGCAGATATTTGCCAGATACGCTACATAGATTTGCTAGCTCTTATATACTATGTATATTCCCCAAGAGTGGCTATTTGAAAAAGCTCTGGGTTCATCTGTGTATGTATGTGCACTTGCACACACATAGACTGGAAAGTAATTGAAAGTCAAAAATGTCTTCAGGTGACTCAAAGAGGCAAATATTTCTTTGGGAAGGCCAATGTATGAATAGCCCACCTGGCAGCAGAGCCCAGATTTTAAAACAGAAAGGAGGCTGCTTAAAATGCTTTTGGGAACAGCCTTCTCAGGCATGCAGCTTCTTTTCCCCAACATAAAATGTTAGTTTCTAATTTGAAATTGAATAGTTAAAAGTTTGAAGTCAGATTGTCACTTGAGCTGGCAAGTGCTTACATGCATGTCTGGAAAAACTCGATGCTTTGCAAAACAGGAAGGCCCTTTGTTTACAGCTGTTCAAAGGAAGGAGTTCTTAGCTTTGTCCAAGACATACATGCAGCTGAACTTCCAAAGAAGCACAAATCCAATCTTAAAGTTATTTTACTCTCCATTATTCAGAATGTCCAGTACAGCAAAGTGGAATAAGGGGCTCTGGTGTGTTGTTAAATTTGAGTAAGATGAACATAAGAGACTCATCAGGATGTTTTTAAAAATCTACTTAAGGCCTCTTGTGTTATGTAAATGGTTAAGTAATTCTATCCATTCAGAGGTCTAGAAATTAGGTCAGCAATAGTGGTGTGTGGTAGTGATCCTCTTTAACATACACTGGAGTTTATGAACAATCTGCCTTGCATGTATCACTCTCGCTTCAAAGTGTAAGATCCTGTTGTTGTTGTTGTTGTTTGATTTATATTATCTGCTCTTCACCAGAAGGTCCCAGGACAGATTAGAGCATCATGAAATAAAGCATTAAAGCAGTTTAAAACTTAATTTTAGACTTCCTATTTTAAATAATATGTTTGTTGTAAAAACATCAAGTTTAGTACGTCAAAACATTACTGCATTCTAGAATGCATTTTTACCTGGCAGCACAGCTAGTTTTTTCTTTTGAAATTTTGGCTGGCTGACGAATCTAGTGTTCTATTTCCAGTTACGGTAAATATTGCTTTTGCTTGTACCCTTGTATGTATCTTATTGAAAAGATGTAGCAGTAGATACATCTACTGATAACTCTGTGTGTGGATTGCACACAGGGTATACTTAGTCTGGAGAAGAAACCATTAAGAAGTAGTAAAATAGTAATTGTCCAATATCTGAAGGGCTCTCACATAGATCGGGGTGGTGAATCTTTTTCAGCGCAAGGGGCCTATTCCGTTATCATTTTTCTAGGCAGACATGATCACAGTTCAAGAACACCTAGACAGGTGACAACACTCAAGGAGGAAATAGGCTAGGACTGAATGAATATGTAGGAAGAGGGTGTGTGGCTTGAGAGGAGTCTTGAGGATCCAAACAAAAAGGCCTGGAGGGCTGCTTTGAGCCCCTTGGCCTGAGTTTCCCCATTCTTTCTGTTATCATAGGGCAAATTTGCATGACCTGAGCCAACAGATTCCAGTTTGCAGGAAAGGGAACTTAAGGTAAACATCAAGGAGAACTCCTTTTCAACAATTGAACAAATTGTGGTGGAAGGTCTTTGTCTTTGTTAGAGGATTCTAAGCAGAGGTTCGATGGCTACTTATGAGGAATGCAGTAACAGCAGATTACTTGTATCAGCTGGGGGTTGGACTTTGGTGACCTGTGTTGTCTCTTCTGACTCTAGGATTCCAATTCTTTATACTCACCATTTCTGTGCTCCAGGTTTGGTATTTGTACGCAAGCAAAATTGTATAATTTGTACTCTGTAACATTCATAGAGTGCACAAATAGGATGTTTGTGAAGCTCACAATTACAACTCTGTTTACTTAAACTATCAAGAGTCATGATAGGGCATTCCATAATGGAAGTCCCCACGGTTAATCTAGTGGCATTCTGGTGTTTTATCAGTTTCCTGGGCCTTTCCTCTTTCTTTCATTCTGGGAGTAGCACTTTTTTTTTAGTGTTAACAAAAGACTCAAAAGTTCTTTTTCTGCTACAGCCTAATAGTGATTATTTACATTAGGGTGCAGAAGAGCTCCTCATAAGAACATTGAAACAGCCTTAAAAATGAATCCCCAGTGGTACAAGTCCACTTGTCTACTTACGTTCTTTGTGTGGTATATGGAAAACAATTTCTCTACGTAGTAGTGATCCTCACAGGCTACTAGGCAGGGGGGTCACATGCACTCTCCTAGATGTAGCCTACAACTGGATGGGTATTGTTGTTTTCCTTGGTTAGATTGTCTGCAGCTATTATGAATGCAGTTTATGCTATTGTGGATAAAACAGAATCAATATTACTTTGGATAGGACTTTATCCCTAGGTCTTGATTAGCTGATAGATTGGTTGATTTCTTTGTGTACATACTATTGCCATTTTGGTAATTAAGTTATTTCTGTGGTTAACTCTTGCGTGTGGTGTTGCATCTCAGAATGAGGTTCTGAACACTAGGTGGTACTGTTTGAAACAACGGATGGAGTTCCAGTGAACCTTCTGTTCACTCATGCACACGGGCTTCTTTGTCCATGCCACTTACAATTTCCGTTGTATTCTGTCTTCCATCACTTGGTGGTTTCCAGTTGATATGATGTACGTAATCTGTGGTTGGTCTTTTAATTTTACCAGTTGTTACTGACCCAGTTATTTCAGCTTTGCTTTTTCACAGGAACCTTGGAATTTCTGCCTCTTGTTTTATGATATGAAAGCCCTTCTTTGGAGAAGCAATACTTGACTTTTTTTCTATCTTCATCATTGGATGAATATATCAGATGACATTAATTGCCATTTGGGATGAATCTATGCAATCAAATATCCAAGTGTATCATATACAGATTGTTTTCTCATCTTGATTGTTTCAGAATATAGACCTTTTTCAAAGGCATGAATATAATGTCTACAGTCTTTTTTCCTGTAATTTCTGATTCCAGTATCCCAATAAGAGGGATTGGAGGTTGACTAGGGTAGGCTGATCATATCCTTGTGATGTATGAAAATTGTTGAATTAATGGCAGATCAACACAGTATGGCTTATTATTTAGGCTGTAGCCATACATTACTCTTTTTCAGAGAACTGAAGATTGTGTGATTGATTCTGTTATTTTTCTGGCCAAAGATATTTAGCAGATTTTGTTTGAAACACTACAATGCCCCCTTAAAATGGGGAAATGTACACCCACCATGGTCAATGATGGCTTGATAACACGCCCTTTAACTCCATCTCTATCCTTAGGGTGATTTAGGTTCTGATTCTGATTCTTTATTTCTGCTTGTGAGATAGACGTTTCTTGTGCTTTTCTAATGGTGAGCATGCAGTGTAAGTGCTATGAAGTTCCACTTTTTGGACTAAAGATATGAAGGCGTACTAGTAAGCGATGCATACCACAGATTAGGTGGTACTTCCATACAGGTTCACAACAATGGTGGTATATGTGCATTTTATTGAAGAAGCTCAGGGTTCTGTGGATTTTACATTGTAAAAGCACAGAAACCATCACTGGACAAAACATTTAGTATCCTGAAAATCTCAGCTTTCCTTTTAAAAAGTTTTAATTTCTTATGGAGGTGAGTTTGAAAGTTTATGGGCCTTGCCTGAACACTTTGAAGCCAGAGAGGGCTGAGCAAGATTCCCATTAGCCAGGGGGTGGGCTTCATTGTTCTGCATAGCTGCCCCCATGACTGGCAGAAGGAGACTATTCCACAAAATATGCAGATGTACTGTACTTATTTGCATAATGCGTACAGCTACTGTTTGGTGCAGAATTGCCCTTTGTTGGGCTGCAGGAACTTCAAGTATAGGTACAGTGGTGCCTCGCAAGACGAAATTAATTCGTTCCACGAGTTTTGTCGCCTTGCGATTTTTTTCGTCTTGCGAAGCACGGTGTCGGGAAAGTTTTGGAAAAGCTTCAAAAATCACCAAAGTCTTTACAAACCTCAAAAAAGGCTACCACACCGCGTTCTATGAGTTGCTCCTCGAAGTCAAGTCGCAACTGTATTAACAACGTTAAGAAAAAGGAAACAAACTTGCATGACGTTTCCGTCTTGCGAAGCAAGCCCATAGGGAAAATCGTCTTGCGAAGCAGCTCAAAAAACAAAAAACCCTTTCGTCTAGCGAGTTTTCCGTCTTGCGAGGCATTCATCTTGAGAGGTACCACTGTATGTGCCTGTGTAGGCATGCACATCTTTTAGTCAGAGATGTGATGAATCCATCCCTCCAAGGTTCTTTATAAGACCTTGCACTTCAAGAATGAACTGCTTTTTCTGGGAAAACAAATCTTGATTTTCACCACTTCACTAGATTATTCAAGCTTCCTCCAGCAGCAATAATGCTGTATTGTTGACTGGCGAAAACAAGCACATCTGGCAGCCATATTAGGAGGCCAAAGGGGGATGGGAAGAGATGCACAGTCAAGTGTTTTGCCTCACCAGTCTCTACCAGACACCAGCACAAAAGAAGAGCTGCTTGTCAGTTAATTGTTGCAGTGTATATGGGTGATGAAGACAGACCGAGTTAATGTATACAAGTTCAGTTGCTGACATTTTCAATACAGCTGCTTTGGATCAGTCTTCATGGGCAGAATTAACTTCTGTAAGAATGCTTGTTTGTTCTGTACAAGCAATTTGCTTTTCAAGTTGGGCATACAGTCAATTTAACTTGGCTTCAGTAAAGTTAATTAGTTGTTGTTCAGGGTATGTTAGCTTGGGGCTCCAGTATTGGAAATTAGTATAGCTGGCATGTGAGGACTGCATTTTCTAGCTGAAACTTGTTGAGTCTGAGCTCTGCTCAGTGCTGTAAAGTATGTGCAGCTCCCTTTGACATTGGGCATGTGGGAACTGGTTTGGGAAGTTTCAGATAGAAAGTATTCTTACTGCAGAACAGAGTGAAAGATTGAAAAGCTGCCTGTTTTCCCACAAACGTTCTAGGAAATACAGCATAGTATGGCAGATACCTTCAGACTCTTTAAGTCATTCCTATTTCAGTGGTCAGAAGCATGATCTCTGAGCCTGAAAGTTCCTTGGTAGCGAATTTGTAACATTGCCTTAAGTAAACCACTTAGTAGGTTGGCTCATGTTCCTTCAATAGGGGGTTGTTTTGCCCATCCTGGGAGGAAAGAATTGTTCTGTCTCTGTGTTATAACAAGTGTTCTGTAAAATGATGATGATAAACAATTGTCATAAATTACAGGTGTCTTGTCAAAAAATTGAGATAATGTATGGAAGCAGTTAAAGCATGTGCTGGAAAGGCCCTAATTCTATTTAGTACAGAAGTGTCTGGGATGTATAGGATGCTAAACGGCCTTGCACCAGTTGGAAGGACTGCCCTCCATATGAGTGCAGAGGACTGCTGCTATTTAGCCATACCTGTATAGATATTATGTGGTGCTAAATGAGTTGGTGTGCTATGGAAGGGGCAGCATTGATTGGCAGTATTACCTCAGTGCCAGGGTCAAGGTTCCCCTTTGTTGCACTGTGCAAGGCCATAATTGAAAAACACAAATGTCAAATGCAAGTACAACAGTGTCATTGTGAAGAGCCCCATATGACATGCAACATGCATGTATACATGTGGCAGGAATAGACAGCTCTCAGCAACTCCCACAAGGTGTCCACTGGTGTGCTTCTGCAAATGGAACCCATGAACACAGGCCTCTCACTTCATAGTCTCCCTGTGTCAAGACATTGGGACAAATACCATCCTACTCCCCAAATGGGATGGGGCAGAAAGTGGGCCAAAATATTTGGCATCATTAAATATCTGATAGAACAAGAAGTGCAATAGTTATTTCAGCTTGAGCATATTTTCTTACTGGCTGTGCATTATTTTTATTGTCACGTAGCATTATGTCAGGGCCCAGCATACCAAAATGATTAAATGGTAATCTTGCGCTGCTTTGTTTGAGTACAATGGTAAAAGAACAGGTGGAACACTAAGCATTTGCTGTTGTGAAATATCTACAGGAACTAGGAATTGATTAGAAAGAAATGCTAATTATATTATTCTGGTAACTTCACCATGGTCAAAATTGCAAATGGGAAGTGTGCTGTTCATGTTTTATTAAAGTGAAGACAGAAAGCTCCTAATTTCAGAGCTGCTTCAGACATCGTAAGAAGCATTAAAAAACCTGTAGGAGGGTGCAGAGACAAATTTATTCAATGTGTGCTAGGCAAAAAGAAACCTTCAGAGAGATAAGTGAACAACACTTGTCTTGATTTTTTCCCAATGAAGAGCTACATTTGGCCAGAAAATACGTTTGACTAATTTGACTCTGCTCTCTTGGGTAGACTATTTTTTAAAGGAGATTCAGGCGATCCCCACATCTGAAGCACCTGCAGTATCCAGGAATAATTTATAACATCTGAAATCACACTGGCATGCTTCCCCTCCCCTTTGCTTTCATGCCTTCCTGTAACAAAAGGGACCACATCTATTATTATTTAAATCAGATAAGATCACTTCTGAGTGGCAGCATTGCACTAATCTTACAATAATGTGTTACAAGGTTTGAAGTGCCAGCGCTCTTCTCTTTCCCTTTCTGAAAACATGAAACCTAACTCTGCTCCTTCAAGAATCTTGTCGCTCTATTTCTAGTTGTTTATTGAAAAACGTATGCTCATCTGATCATGTGTTTTTAGTCATCTGGGACTTCTGCCAATAGAAGGGGTTTGCTATTCACACTCCCTGTTCAGTAGGAATCATTTTCTCTGCCACTTGTCTAAGAGCTGCCTACCCAGAATGCCAGGGCTGGCCTGGGACGTTTTTTGCTGCTTGAGGAAAAACACCCTGCCACCACTGCCCCCTACCCTACATGTCTGGTCCTGCACCCTTCTTGCTGCTGCTGTGCCCTGCAGGTCTGGCAGCCAGGTTGCAACCACAGCAGCAGTCCGAGCGCAGCGGGGAGAGTGCAGCAGCAGGGTGTAGCCGCAGCAGCCCCCGCCTGAGGCAACAGCTGCACCTCACTTCTTGGGCAGGCCAGCCGGCCCTGCAGAATGCATTGGGCCCAGCCTAAGCTGACATGCTTGGAGTCTCAGCTGAATCCTGTCCGGCCTTGCAGATCTAACCTTGTGCTTTTTTTCTCTCTCTTCCAGTAGTATTTTGCCTTTGAGTAACTGCCCCCAACTACAGTGCTGCAGGCACATTGTCCCAGGGCCTCTGTGGTGCTCCTGATGCCCCTCACCCACTGTCGAAGATCCCCGGTGGGCGAGGGGTTGGCAGGGATCCTTCTCTCTCAGCTTTGATATATAAGGTGAGCCTAGTTTAATGTCTAGAGACTGATTGCCTTTGTATGATGTAGCTTTTTTGTGTGGTTGGGATGATGTCTTTGGATGTTGTTAAATAAGCCTTGTTTGAGGGAATGTACTTATGTTCAGGAATACACACATCAAAGAATGCAATGGATATTCTTTAATTCAAAGCTCTTCAAACAGAATAGGTCAAGCATTTACTTCCAGTACTGTAGTCTGGGCTATTTCTTCAAATAATGGACTTTGGGTACCCTTTCTCAACACCCCCCAGTGCTTGCTTTTTATGATACAACAAATTAGGAAGCCTAGCGAAATGGCAGTCTGCACCAAGCCAGTACCGATTTGGAGTGTGTATAATGGAGAAAACAACACTAGGTTTCAATTCTCCCTCTGGATTGCTCTAAATAATTACCCAACTGCTCTTCTCCCCAGAGTTGTGTTTCCATAACACTTACAAAGCTAGTGTTTTGACTCATAGAATGGGTTTCTGAATGTTTTATTGCCATGAAAAAGGAATAAAGAGGCAAATGAATTTCTTTTCAGTATTCAGATTAGAAACTGGAAAGGGTGGGCAGCTGCAGAGCCATCTATAGATTAATCTGAAGAGACTAGTAGCCACAGCTGATTCTGACTGGTTGAAACTGTTCACCATTCTCATTTTGTACTGTGGATCCTGATAAATCTGTGGCTAGCAAATCTCAAGCCTTTGCCATCTGGTCTCTGAAGTTTTGCTTTTTCCTACTTTCCAGGAGTAGAAGAGTTATATTTGCAAACATGCCATGTTGGCCAGTGTTAAACAGGAAGCTACAGTGTTGAAGCTCTGCTGTAGAAAAGGCTTATTCATAGTCATCTTTGGATCTCACCAAAGAATACTGGCTGACTATTACTAGTTCTTAATGCCTGTGAATATTGGTTATCATATGCTTCTGGTGTGATTTCTTTTTTCTTTCTTTCTTTTTCTTTTGGCCTCCCATGTTGAATTGAGCAGTTCTTTGATTGCAAATGGTTCCTTATATTTGTGTCTTTACAAAGGGAAATATTCACCTTCCCTACACAACTCATTTAAATATTGTTCTGACACAACCGCTCATCATTTGATGCTTGCATAGTAACAACACTCATTTTGTTCAGTATGTTGTACTACAAAAACATGGTGAGAAGAGCAGTTGAGTGAGATTCTCCTGAAATGCAGAGTTGCCATTCAAGCAATCTTTGTAATACTAGGGTGTTAGTCACACAGTGGATTAAAATACACTTCATTAAAAAATATTTAATTGATAGCAGGGGTTTTAATTTGGTTGATTAATTCTGGGTTTTTATACGATTTAAACTAATCTTGAAGATGATATATTTGCTTTTAGTTAATACTCGGAAATCACTGCTGGTGTGGTCTTAGAAGAGCTATTCCAGAAGTGGGAGTGCATTTTCTAAGATGGTGCTTGAAGTCTTCATGCAAAAATTAATTTTGTAACCCAACCTATTTTATTAATATTTAATTAACTTACAGGGGTGACTGGTCTGGACCTCGTTAATCTTCTTATGCAATGCGACTTTTAAGATTCTGTTAAAATGTACACATCTATCTGTCAAGTTCATAGTTGGATCATATTCTGTATCCAGTCAAGAAATGGAGAAAAAATACGCTTGGCTGTTTTTCTTTAAAAAGCAACAACCCACACAGTTGACAATAGTTGCTTTGTAGCTGCTGTCCTGCTTTCTGATTTGAACAAGAGAAGATCCCATGCTTATGAAGAAGCAGAGCTTTAAAGTATTCCCTGTGCAGTTCTATATGCCACAAATTAAGTTATCCAGGAGAATGTCTAGTGGTTTAGGGCAAAATAAGTTTGTTCAGGTTTTGATAATTCTCTTGGCAGAAAGTTATTTCGTAAGGTGTACCCACCTGAAGATTGCCGAGGGGATAGGATTTAGGGATCAAAAGACCCAGTCTTCAGAAATGTTGGACTGTGTCATCAAAAGCAACATATGTAATAGTTTCTTATGAAAATTAACTTAAGCTGTAACTGAGCAAACTTTCTAATTAAGTAGAAGCACTGACATTCAGTAGTTGTTTTAAAAATAGAGTATTTTTAGGTTTTAGTCCTCATGGCAATAAAGAAAAAATGAATATTATATTCTCGTTGGCACTTCCTTTTAACACTTTAAAATCTTTTTCTGTGACTCTTTAAGGATGAGAAGCTCACTGTTAACCAAGATCTTCCAGTGCACGATGGGAAACCACACATTGTCCACTTCCAGTACAAAGTTACGGAAGTAAAGGTCTCTTCTTGGGATGCAGTGCTATCCAATCAGAGTCTTTTTGTGGAAATCCCTGATGGTGTATTAGCTGATGGGAGTAAAGAAGGGTAAGTGTTTGAGCCTATAGCTATCATGGTATTATAGAATCATATAATTGTACAGTTGGAAGGGAGCACAAGGGTCATCAAGTCCAACCAACAGCAATGCCAGAATCTTTTGCCCAATGTTGGGCTCAAACTCACGACCCTGAGATTAAGTCTCATACTCTACTAAAGTGCTTGTAGACAAAGGAATCAAAGGTGTGCTGAAGGGGGAAAAGGAGAGTTGCAAGAGAAGCTGGATAATTTATTTGCATTTGTCTTTACAGTGGAAAATGTAGGACAGATCCCTCTGCTTAAACTAACTTTCTCAGGAAAGGAGTCTGAGGCAAAAAGTGGGGACTAGAGGCAAAATTCCAGGCCTTGATGACATAAAAGAATGGACAGACCTGATTCCCATCCACCTGAACATTTTAAAAAGAATTTTGGTGTGAAATTGCTGAAAAGAGGGATCCACGAATATAGAGGCAGTAACTCAGCATCTATCCAGGAAAAACTGGTGGAAATTATCACTGTACACATATTTACATTAAATTGCATTTGCCATTCTGATGCCCATTCACCCAGATGGGAGAAAAATGTTTGGAGCTAGCGCGTTGCAATTTTTGTTTGTTTTAACCACTTTAAACAAATTTTGTCATCAGCATGCTTGGCTGCCTCACTGCTCACCCCAAACACGGGTTTATTATAATCTCCCCCCCCCCAACTGTACAAGTGGCCAGCACAGTGCCTTCCCCCAACTTTTTTGTAGAACAGGAAGGAAGGAAAGAAGAACAGGGAAAGAAGAAAAGACAGGAAATTTGTGAAAATGAAGGACAACAAGAGACCAAGAAAAATAGAGGTGCCTTGAAAAGAATGGGGGTGGGAATAAGTTATCTTTCTTACTTAACTTATAGTTGGGTTTGGAGACTTCCTTACCCCACAAACCATAACTTTGAAGCTGACCTCCCCTACCGCATCTTGAAACAAATGAAATTTTAACATGCTTAGCATAATGTGAAAGGAACCACCATGGCAGTTTTCTGCTGGGATGTAATGACATATACTGTTTAAGTAGAATTCACTATGAATCAAATCCTTTTACTAGTTAAGTAGTTAGCCTCATTATATACTATAATATACTATAATACACTGTTAAGGCTCTGATGATTTGAAAGACACTAGTATTCATCTTCATTTTCTGTCTTTTCTCATTATTTTTTTAAAGAAACTACAGTGGTGCCTCGCAAGACGAAATTAATTCGTTCCGCAAGTTTTTTCTTCTTGCGAGTTTTTCGTCTTGCGATGCACGGTTTCCCATAGGAATGCATTGAAAATCAATTAATGCGTTCCTATGGAAACCGACTTCGGACCAGGTCCGGGGACAGTCTGTCCCCCGACCTCTTCTGAAGGCTGGGGGGGGGGGACAAGGGCTTTTCTTCCCACCAACCCCCCAGCATTTTAAAAAACCCCGGGACAGCGGAGGGCTTCTCCGCTGTCCGGGGCGATCTTAAAATGCTGGCAGGCGGCATTTTAAAATCGCCCCGGGACAGCGGAGGACTTCTCCGCTGTCCGGGGCGATTTAAAAGCCCCTGGGAAGGCAGGCAGGGGGGACAAAGACTTTTGCCCCCCGCCAGCCTTCAGAAGAGGTCCAGGACTTTTCCGTCTTGCGAGGCGTTCGTCTTGCGGGGCACCACTGTACTTAGTTCCTTATTAAATCCCATATGCCTAATTTGCAAAAACAAACTTCTTACTGTACAATTTATTTTTGACACCGTACAAAAAATTGTCCAGCTGCATGGTGGAATAAACCCTGCCACCAGGTTTCTGTTACACTCATTATATCTATGCAGCCTTTGAAGCTCCCATTGCTCTAGGCGCGTTTTGTGACAGGGAATTTCATGAACGTGAGCAGTTTCTGAGCTCTGGGAGCAGTACTGCGCCTAAGATTTCAGATTAAAACTGCCACTGCTGGAACAAAAGGAGGACCTTTTTCTGCTTCCCCACTTCCAGCCACTTTGATGACTGAAGAAGGGACCCTCATAAGAATATTAGGGGGGCAGACAGGGGAAGTATGGCTTTTTTTTTGCCAGTGAAAAATGAATATAAGGTTTTAGCTGCAGTTCATTCATTTTCAGCTTTGTATTCTTGTTATAAAAAAGCATGCCTAGACATTCTGTTGCAGCGCCCATAGCCTATGTTTAAGGTGCCATTTAGTTCCTAGCTTTCATATCTGTTTCTAACACTGTATCATTGGTGTCCTCTAAACTCAAGCAACCCATATCTAAGTGTCGAAATATATTCATCTATTTTCTCCCTCCACATCTGATGCTGCTTGTATCTGCCTCAGAGGGATTAATTTAGAGACAGCACCTTCTTGTTCCCTGCCAGAGTAGTTTTGTTTGAGTTTGAGGTAACCGATTCTTAATGAATTTACCCATTTTGACAGATGCTGAATTTATCATATTTTGATATATACTGTGGACAGTACATGTTTTTGAGTTGTATCCAATACTATCTCAACGTGAGAACAGACTTCTGCTTGTGCAGTGTGATGTCATTACCCTCTTCACCACACACTAACTGAGCTATTCCCATCCTAGCCCTGTAGCCTTCTACAAAATTTGCTTCCGGAGGTGAAGGGGAACCTTGAGAACATTATAGTGGTGTGCTGGCAGGGAGGAGAGGATGTTGAAGTCTCATTGTACAAGTAGAAGTCTGCTTGCCCAACTTGGGATTCCACCCTTAGTTGGCAAGATCAGAATTGGTAATCTGTTTTCCTTCTTTGTCCTATCCTTGCTTTTTGCTTGCTGGGTGGACTGAAATAATGATTTAAGACACTGAAATTCAGGTTCAAGGAGAGGGAGCACATGATTAAGAACTCATGGAAGTATTTCCTGGTTTGTCCCTTCCCCTAGTTGCTGTGGAGAATTCAGACTAGAGAGCGGGGGTAGAAATTTGTGTACAGACAGTTCACCAAAGGGTGTTATTGTAGAACCCATTTCCTTCCCATCTCAGTTGCTTTGAAATGGAAACCAGTTATCCCTCCAGGTGATAACTGGGAGGGATTTGCTGGCCTTTGTGTTTCGCTGAGGGAAGTAAGTATAGAAATGAGCACCCCACTATCTTGTACTTGGGTGCTGTGGGAGGAGGGAAATGTCTGATTGCTCCATATTTCTCTGCGAGTGTTGGAAGACATTCTCTTCTCTCTTTGGATTCCCTGGATTCCTGCAAATGGGCTCTATTAGTACACGGATAACTTTGATATCCAAAAAGGTAACAACACAATTTTTAAGGGCAAATTAGCCTTTATATTTCCTTTTTATAAATGTGTCAGCCCATTCATCCCATCCTCTTAACACCACTCTTTTGACAGTACTTCTACTGTTGGCATGGTTTCAGTACAATTGCATAACTGTTTATTTTTAGCCAGCTAAAATAAGCAGCTTGAACGTTATAATTAAAATGGATCATTATCATATTAACAAAATCCCTTCCAAGTTAATCTCTGCTTGCTGCTGCTTTTGACTCTTGTGGCCATTGTTCACTTAAGCAATCATTAAAGCCTGATTTTTAACTGCAGCTTGCTAAATCAGTGGCAAGCGATGTCTGGCTAAGCAGAGGGTTAGGGCTGAGGTCACCCTGTACTTTGGCTTGTACAGTATTTCAGAATTTGGCATGAGGGTTACGCAGAATAGACCAACCCCAGAATCTGCAGCATTTTGGAATGTGCTCGGTTTCATTGCTCCCCTTATTTCATTGCTCCCGTCTAAGGGTGAGTTTGAGGTGGTTACTAGGGAGAGGGGTCTTTTCAGTAGTGGCACCCCATTTACAGAATGCCCTCCCAAGAGTCTTGCTTACTTGATGTCCATGCTGTGATGTTGTAAGTGACTAGTTCAAATACCTTTTTGTTTCCCTAGGCCATTTAATTATAATGGATACATCTGCATGGTGTTCCTAGATCTTTGCATTAAGTTATACCCTTGCAGTTTTTCATTGTTTTTGTGCTGGCTTTACTGAAATAAAAGTGACCAGAGTCTAGTCATATTTATCCCCACCTGTGCAACAGATTCCATCCCTCTGGGATCTTCCAAGGAAATTGAAGGATTTAGTGACAATAACAGACCCTTCTGGAACTTAAATATACAACTCATGGGACCTGTGTGTAACATCTTGCCTTCCTCCTGTGTGCTGCTGTGCATATGCTCATTAGCAGCCATGTTAAATTTCTACTTTTGACACACACACCCCCCCCCAAAAAAGCAAGGTCTTTTTCTTGGCACTTCTGTGTCTTCTCTGACAGTCTGGCAAAATAGTGAATTGGGGTGAGTGGCAGTCACATTGAAGACCCTCCAATAAGCTAACAAACTATCCCGGGAAATGGTGTCTGTATGATGTGATTTTTTTCCTTTTCCCCTGGCAGATTATTAGCACTGTTGGAATTTGCTGAAGAAAAAATGAAAGCAAGTTATGTCTTTATTTGCTTCCGAAAAAGCAGAGAAGACAGAGGTTAGTGCTTTAGCCTCTTGTTATTCCCAACAATCTTAACCTTGGGGCTTGCAGAGTAGCAAAAGTAGCCATTACTTTTGGGGGTAAATTTCTGGGGGTGAATTTTCCTGCAGGTGCCAAGTGTGGTATTCTAAACTAATGTATGTGGAGTGTTGTTGTTTTAAAGGGCTTTGCTGGGGATAGTCTGAATGGTGTTATAGCATTTCTTGAAATATTGGAGGACTAAGTGCAACTTACCCAGAATGCTCAAAATAGGGCTTCTTCCTGGGTAACTATACATAAGATTGCTACGTATGTTTCCAGTTAGAATACTACAGTTCTTTGGTTCAAATGAGAATGGAAGTAACTTTCTCTTGTTAGCTTTGCATGTCTGTGCAATAGCTGTATTTGGCTGGATGCCCAAGTTCTTAAATCAGGTATAAGTGAGGTTGATGAACTGGACTTTCAATGCCTCTGTCCTCTTCCAGACCTTAAGAAAATGCGTTAAGCATCTATAGATAGAAGATTAAATCAAGGAAGTTTAGGGATTTAGTGTAAAGCATATAATTACTAATTGAAGGTGCATGTTGTAACAGTGGCAGTACTATAAGAGGAACTGCAAATCCTTTCTATGCCAGCTTTCCTCTGAATTGCTTCTTTTGTGCATTGAGTGACCTGTTCACAGTAAGCTTATCTAGAAGCAAAGGAATTTAATTGCATATTGATTAAAACTGTTCTGAGGAGTTTTTTGTTAGAGGTAATCTAGAATCTGGCTCCAGGACTCTGGTCTTTTCAGGTTTGTATTTAGATTATCAGTTTCAAAACCAGACTTTATATTTAAAAAGAGGATTGTTCATCAATGTAATTATTGGATCCTGATCCGCACGTACACTAAGCCCAAACCACAGCTAAGTGTGAACATAGGAGTGTACTAGGGTTTGCAGTAAAATTCCAGCCACTCCTCCTCCTGATCATCCCTGTTGCAGAGCCCAGGGTTAAGACATGGTCTGTCTTAGCATTACATCTGAATTATGGCTTGCCTCCCCACAAAGCATGAGCTATAGCCAAACTTCATTCCTGACTTACTGCTTATGGTTTGTCTGGGGCAGGCAAACTATTAGGTTGTGTCCAGATCTAAGCCAAATGATGGCTTAGCTCTGTGCAATGCAATGGCAGGGGGAAGAGTGAAGTGGCTAGGATTTTTATTATGAGTATCTGCATACTTGCATGTTCACACTTTGCCGAGGTCTGGCTGAGTATTACGTGTGAACTTGACATTAATGGTTGGCGTTTGGCTATCCTTACCACCTAACCAAGTTGCTTCTTTCTAGTGTAACATTGTGTTTTCCTTTTGGTGGCTGGCGGGAGTGGGGGAGAGGTAAGAAATACGACGGAACTATTGTTGAGTAGGATGACAGGTATTACGAACCAGTAACCAACAGGATTGCAGCACAGAATGGACAAGAAAAGGGGTATGAAATATGGCAAGACCTACTAGACAGTTCCGAGCCAGGGAAGAAACTTTTTTCAACCTTCACAGACTGTTGTTGAATGGTTTTTTCTGTATACAATTAAAGTCATGGAATTTGCATTAGGAGCACAGCTTGTTTACAACCACACCTATCTGATGTTGCCAATCTTTGTCTTTGCAGCTGCATTACTGAAGACATTCAGTTTTTTGGGCTTTGAAATTGTGAGGCCTGGCCATCCCTGTGTCCCATCACGACCAGATGTGTTGTTCATGGTATACCCCCTGGATCAGGTCTCTTCTGATGATGATTAGACCCAGTGCAGCACTTCAGTGGGACCCGAACATGCTTCAAAGACGAGAGGGGGCTAAAACTCCTCTTCGGAGGAAAGGAAAAACAAAATTCTTCTGGACTGAAACTGCATTTCTTATTGTTAGAGTGACCTGTATATCTTCTGAGTTGACTTTTCCATTGAAATGTGTTACCTAGTGAATAATATAAAGTCTGCACATGTAATCGCACAATAGTAAATGGAAGGTAAATGGAGCCCTTTCATACAGCTCTGTTGTCTGCTGGTTAGCCTAGTGGACAGACATTCTGTCCTAGCCACCCAATGGGCAAGGAGCTCAGAGGTGAAGAGGGACACAGATCTGACTTGTTAAATTAGCGTTGGGCTTTTCTGTTCATTTGGTTATTTGGCTTTCATTTTAAATAACTGTATACTTTTGTGTTCACTCAGACTTAAGCAGGAGGCATGCTTTGGGCATAGGGATGCGAGGAACAGTAACACTGTTAGCAAAGCCTAGGGTGGTACCCCCTGGAGTAACCAACACTGTGGGTTCCTGAGAAGCTTTGTGCTCTTTCTAGCCTTTTTATTAGGTTAGTATTAACACTGCATTAGTACAGCTTTCAATAAAAAGGGGCATTCAAAAAACATGCGAAGCTGACCCTGATTTTTAGAGAGAAAGAACTGCATAAGCACCCCTTTCCCAGAATTGTAATAGTTCTGCTGTTTTTCACTGCATTCTGTAGTGGAAGTGGATGTAAAACTCTGAGTGGAGATTTTGAATAAATGGTGAAAATTATAATTAGAGGATAAAGCAACAAGTACTCAAATCTAGCCTCCCCAGCTGGTGATGGGAAAATTTTATGCTGGCAGCTCTGACTGATGCCCTTGCAGCCAGCTTTTCTTGAGAAACCTAGGAATGGATTGCAGTATGCTTATAAACAAAGCAATCCTATGCTCTCCCACTAGGAATTAAGCACTACTGCATGCATTAGTGCTTAATGCTGAATAAACAACTAGGAAACTTTTCTGAAAACTATTTGGTGCTTGAAGCTTCATCTCATCCTTCAATGGCTTTCTTTTGTAGAATGGAAGACAACTATCCTGCTTATATTTTCTTAAACAGCCAGTTCTTTCAAGCTTCATTCATAACATACGATTCAAACACTTTCCTTGTCTGTTTAACTGATGTCAATGTGAAACAATGGTATCCAAACTTGCTTATATTGATTTTTGCTAAGATGATTCAACTGTTACAAAAAAGCAAAAATATAGACAGTCTAGGAGGGAATACATGTGCAATATGCTTTTTTTGTAGCTAGGTATCTGCTATTTAGTCTTCATAGGTGGAGTTCTGCAGAATCCTCTGGGGTCTTACCCCAGAAGTGGCCAGTATGTTTCTCACCTAGGTAAGGGGCTACTGCTTGAAAGGGGAAGTGTTCTGGAGAGGAATTGGGGTTCTGGAGAGGAATGTATGGGAATAAACTTAAGTTGTCTCCTCCCACCCAATGGAAGCTGGCATTGTATTACGAGTAAAGAGAGGGATTAGGTGTCTACTGAGGAATTTGCAACGTTAAGCACTGGTACTTTCCGTGCATTAGAGTCCAGATACTCATTGTACACATTTTCTCAATGTCTACCATGATCTGGTTTTCAGAAGTAATTCATACACAGATGCTCATTGGTGAAAAAGAAAAGATGGTAAATACAAATGGCAATTTGCTTTATGTGGGACTATAAGCACTTGGTGAATATTGTGTAAATAGGGAGAAGAATCCCTATACAGGGCATAGGAAACTTGCTAAGTAAGTTACTAATTGGTCCATGAACTTATTTGCATTCAGCCTATTTCTTAAAACTATGGGAAAAGGTAAGGTTCCTTAGAGGACATGAAATTTATTATGCTCCCTTATGAAACAATTTGTATCTTGCTCTGGAGGCCCTATTACAGAACCTCCTGCCCCTGGTTGTCAGAACTGCCAAAATGCATTTCTGGCATTTCGAAATTATTTCTGTTCACTTTGTATTTTATGCACTTGTGTCCTTGCTGCAGCTGGTACATAAAAATGCCAGTACTTCTATTAGCAGTAATTTGTGATCAGCTAGATCCTAAATTGCATTTGTTTCTCATAATAATATTACACTAGTGACTCACTGAACTTGCACCTTTAAAGTACTTCTCTGTTCATACACATGATTATCTTTAAAAAGCAAAACAACAAAAACAAATCCAGTGAATGAGAAAGTTTTTCTTGCTACCCTCTAGTGCCATTTTTGGCAAGCTACAGCAGCCAGTTAATTACCCCTTCCTCCTTGTTGCTAATGAGTATTTGCCAGTTAGTGGTACACTGTATGTAATCCAGTTTGAGCTTCCGTCCCCACCCCTTAGCTCTACTTTATCCAGTCTGAGCAAGTATCTGCAGGCACAAGTATAGAAGTCACACACAAACCCTCTCTAGAACCAAGCAGCTGCTTGATTACGAAGATGAGGTCACTGGAAAAGCAATCTACTTAATGTACCAGCTTCTTTTGCAAAAGGAGAAGTTCCACTTGTCTCGGCTCCCTTGCCAAAGTAATTTGCCTCTTCAAATGGCCCATGTCTCCATTTGAATACTATGGGTGTAATCAGCAAATTTTATTTTCCTCTTACTTCCAACAAATATACCCACCAAATGCTTAGTGAGAATCCCATTCATATTTTTCTAGTTTGAGAGATTGTCCTGATAGTCTTGTGTGGTTTTTCAAATACGTTTTTCTGAACTGGTGCTACTGTATTATGTTTTCATCTGCAAGCTTCAACCCATTCCTCTGTGTCCCTAGGTCAGCAATAAAAATACTGCGAAACAGGGCCCTAACAGTGATCACTGAAGAACATTACTTACCTTATCCCTGAAAAAGTTTGTTCTTTTATTACCTTTAGCTGTTTGATTTTGTTACCATCGTACACATATTGCAGTACAGAGGTTTAATATATGGGTAGTTTCCTGCTCTCTATCGTCTCCTACACCTTTGTCCAGAACACAATTTTTCATCTTGATAAAGCACTGTCTGATTAGTTTTAGCACCATTCCGCCTCATTCTGATCGTTGAAGATCTGATTAAGAATCTTTTTTAAAGTAGCATAGTGTCACCTTAGCATAGAACCCTCATTAGGGCTGCATGTACTCTGAAAAGAACAGAGCTTGAAATGATGGTTACATTTTTTTATATATAAAATGGTTTTATCCCTTACTGTAGGTAATGTGTGGGCAATTTGGTGCAATCAAAAAAGTGACTGAAAAGGTATCCAGTACCCTGCATTGCTCCTTAAATCTCCATCTGTCATAGAATAATTCTATAAAAATAAGCAGTGATGCAGTCATTCTAGCACAAAAGTACACAGTGCTTACACATCTAGATTAAGCTATCTAGGCTCAGTCTAGAGTCAATGCTGTATCTGGCTCCAGTTTAATAGGGCCAGGACAAGAAAAAATTAAAAGGCAATGAGACTCCTCAGCACTGAGAGAAGTAGAGATCAAAAGAGGATCCACCTGTTGTCTGTGATTATCTCTTCTAACTATTTGCTCTCAGTACCTTGCATGTACAGAGGCCCATAGCACTGGTGGTGTGGGTTTAAGTGTGCATAAAAAACCCAAATGTTAGCAAAGAATGTACACTTTTTTATAGAGCATAGACTGCAAGTTCTAAATGAAAACTTAGCATACCAGTTCCAATGAAAAAAAGACTTTGATGCTGAGGCAGACATTTTTCCAGGGTCAGAAATGTACTAATTAAAGTGAAGGGCAAAAGGGAACCTGAACAGAGGAAGTGACTTCCTAAAACCATGAGGAATGCAGCATAGAAATGATTACAAGTTGGTGCTTCTGTAGAAACCTTCCTCCTGCTACACTCTGGACTAAAAGGAATGAAGAGGGCACCAATCCATTCAGACCAGCTGGACATCATATGTCCCCTTTTCATAGCTGAAAACCAGCCTGGAAGTTCGCATTCTGAGAACAATTTTTGTATCCTCCTGTGTATGCTGAACAAAGCTTAAAAGCACTGGAGCCTTATCTCAGCTTCAGGTCATTACACAGCTGACACATGGCAGTAAAAGGACAACATGCTGATAAGATAGTAACCTCTGAGAAAAACACTCCTCAAAGCAGACTGTGTATATCTCCCATGCCCACGTTAAAGTTTTCCCATTGCACTTCCTGTTTGGATACCAAAGCCAGTCACCACTGAGGAGCTTCTGTAGGCAGAGCTCTCGGGATGTGCTTGAGTGGCACGGTCTGGAATGGCAGATGGTATTCACAGCACACTTCCTTCCTGGAGTCAAAGGTCACCATGTGCTTTCTTTTGTAAGGCAGCAGGCAAATAAGGCTTTGCCATGAAGGATCAACCTTTCCCCAAGCTCAAAGAGGCTACTTCTACATGAATGGAACTATAAGTACTCCCAGGCTGGGAAAGAAAGAAAAAAACAACAGATTTCAAACAATTCCTTTTTACAGTATGTACAAAGTCCAAGAGGCAGAGCGTGGCCTCACACAACATACAGACAGGAACAGAAAGACTGAGCTGGGGAGGCTTGCATTGTTGGGACACACAGCACCTGATTTACACAAATCAGCTAGGTAGGGCACAACAGACCTTCCCAGTTGCTATTCAAGCTGACCACCCTGCAAGAAATGGGCAGGAAATTCCCATAAATGTGGGCAGTGCTCCAGGCAGAAGCTTCAGCAAGGAACACTAAGCAACAGACCAAGGGAAAGAAATCCGGACAATCGTCTTGTGATACAGGGGAAGGCTTCCTCTAGCACCAGAACAGGGCATGGGACATTTAACAAGAGGTCACTCTTTGACGGCCTTGGGCCAGTATAGCTCGCACCCATTGCAGGTTTTCAAAAGGTGGGCAGCCAGATGCTAGGCTTGCTTCTCTATCTCGGCATGACCAAGAACTTCCATATCCAAATATTGCAGGCCAAGACATCCATCCCTTCACTCCCTGCAGGGAAGGAAGGTCTTGCAAGGTATGGAGAATAAAGAACTGCATGTCTGAAATTCAACCAGCCCCATCAGCACATTCTTTTGTTATGAACACAAAATATGTGTTTTGTTTTAAAGCAGGGGCTGGGGAAGACGGGAAGGACAGGCAGCCAGTAACCTTCCAGCAGAGTGAAGCAGGTGACTGCTAGGCAGCAGCAGAGACCCATCCCAATGAGAGCAGGGCCAGCCTGCCAAAAGGCCCTATTTTATGCAAACTGGGTGTATTTTTTGTGCTGCAGAGCAAAAGAAGCATCTGCCACTGCAACACACATGACCTGCCAGCAGGGAGAGGTGTTGGAAAAACAGTGAGTGGAAGGGAGGGCTTTTCAGGGTGCAGCAATCCTGGAGGCAAAGTGCTACAGTTTCAGTATCGCTCCTGCCAAAGGAGCACATAGCTGGCTTGTGCTCATTGCAGCCCCTGCTGCCTCCCCCCCCCCTCCGCCCCCACATTTCCCAGGACATCTTGACTCAACAGAATCTTCTCTTTCCTGTAGTCTTCTTTGCAGGTGCCCATATATGTGCTTGTGCCAGATGGCCACTTATCACAAGTATAAATACACCAATCTGGATGTTCTCACCTTCCGTCAACACCCAAGTAGCCATCTGGGCTGCAGCACAGGAGCAAGAGAGCCTTGGATGGAACCCAAGGCTAATGTGTCCTCCCTCCCCAGCATTCCAAATGTCCCGTGATGCCACACTGCTTGGCCCACCACCACAAAGTCCCTGCTCCAGAGGAGTTCTGGAAATTGGCCAGTCAACCCCAAGTCAGGTGAATAAATATTTCTGCAAGTCCCAGCTCCACAACTCACACGTACAGGGCTCAGCTTGTGTTTGGTAGGGGAGGGGGCAGAGTCTGCCTCACATTGTGGCAGGACCGTCAAGCAGAACAATCAACACCATTCAACTGATGTCTAATGCAATTTCCAGCGCTTCCTCATGTGAGCCAGTCACATGACTGAGTATAGCCTAGGTTATCCGATCATGTGTCCTGTTGGGGGAAAAAGGAGAAATGTAACTCTGCTCGAGCAATTTCAGTTTCAACCACATGATGGTGCTGGAGTAACAGCAACCAGAAACTAGGAGTTTTTTCAGTAATCTTTTTATCCTCAGTTGGAGAAGCACTTGACTCAGAAGGCTTCTTGCAGAGAAGAAGCAAAACACTACAGATCACACACAGTTACTGTAGCCACGACACAGCTGGGAAATTTGAAATATTGGGTTAGGACCAACAGGAGGTAGGTAGGTAGGTAGGTAGGTACACACACACACACACACACATATACATACAGTGCAGGAATGAAAGTAACGGAGCTGCATGAGACCCAGTGCTTATTGTGGCATGTTTCACTTAGCTCTATGTTCTGGCTGCAGGTTGCACAAGAAGCTTCTGTATGGCACTTTGGTGCCACTGTAAATCGCCAATCCCTTTTACTTGTTGGTTACTAATCGTAACATGCCATCTAGCAGCCTACTTTAGATTCCAGAAAGAGACCCACTCTGCCTGCAGGCTGTAATGTAAGCAGCCTGTGATGTTGCCTCTCTTCATACCCTTCCCCAAGCCAATGACATAACAGGGGCACCCTTACCTTTTTCACCTCCGGGGCGGGGGATATAGGGAAGGAGCAGAGCCTTGCTGACTGGCAACAATGGCTGTAGATGAGAGACCTGCAGAGAAGCAGAAGCATAATGCACAATGGTGTGAGGGGTACTAAAGCAGCTTCCAGCACAGGGCTGACTCAGGTTTACAGTGGAGATGTTGCACAGTGCCTCAGAAGAGCTTCAAGGGCTGGGTAAGGCGACAGCAGCAGGGCACCCAGGAAGGTGTGACTAACAGTTGCTAGGGCACCTGCCTCTGCCACCACCACAGCCCCCAACTCCCACCAACAGTGCTTCTGGATTCCCCTTCCCACCCACCCACCCCAATGCCAATGCCCCATATTGCTCTCACCTGTTGCATAGGGCAGGTTGTACTGGGCCGGCAACAATGAATAGCCCAGGTGATGGTGATGGTGATGTGTGGACATCAGACGCTGTGAAGGAGAGGAGCGAGGCCGGTCAACGCTTCTCTCAGCACCACTGGCGCCCCCTACACCGCTGCAGCCTGCACTGCTTCCTCCCACCCCACAGCGCTCCTGAGAGGCCTTGTCGCCTATCTGTAAAAGTAACCAGACAGACATGCTGAAGCCCAGACATGAATCTGCAAGAACAGGCCAGCCAAGTACCTAAATGAGGCCAGCTCTTCTGTGGCTTCCTTGCAAGCCATGTTTGTTACTCGCTCACCCACTCACACTCCAGGAAATAAAAAGCTAGGGAATCCCTGGCAACAGCCCACATGCTTTAGTTCCCGGTTCCAGAACCAGCCTGGAAAGTACGGCATTTGCACCTGGATAGTTCTGTGCCAAGGACAGCACTGAATGTATTTCCCATTCCAGCACACCACTTACCGTTGGGGACTTGCTCTTGTAGTGGCTGGCGTGCTGCTGCAAGATGTCTAGGGCCTTGGATTCAGAACTGGATTTACAGCCAATGCTGGGGCTGGCTCGGGACTTCTCGCTCTCTTCACTCCCAGAGGATTTGCTGCCGTATGGGGAGAATGAGTAGCTGGAGGGCAGGTATGAGCCTGTGGAGGAGATGCTGGTTAGTACTTTCCCACACACGGCAGAAGAGCAAGCTATTAAAGAGACCAACTGCCCTTAAATATCCCCTAAGCGGAAGAGGCGAGAAGCTGAAAGACCTCAACCAGGGATTCTGTCAGAGAGAAGTTTAGAAGCGGATTGTGCATACTGCACACAGATCCAAGAGAATTTGGCATCTCAATCCTTTTTTT